TTATAAATTCATAAAAATATTTTGTATTTTTCTAATATGCTAATTTAATTTTGTTTTTATCTTTAACCCTCCGCGCGTTGGGTGGCCTATTTTTAGGCCAAATGAACTTTGAAATTTAATTAAAAATCAATCTTTAATTTGGTTGTGAAAAAATTTCAGGAATGCCTCAATACTTTTATGCTTTAAATATTTACAAAGTAATGGCTATAAATAATGATGATTAGTATGATTAAATTAAGTTTACAACTATTATTAGGCCACCATACACGTAACGTAACTTTTTATTTCACAGCGTATTTAGTGCTTTGGCCTATTTTTAGGCCACACTACACGCTACTCACTGGCCTTTTTATAGGCCACCCTACACGTTAGTAAGTAAAATTCTTATAGCGCATGTTTTATTACTATGGAAACCGCTTGATAATACTTAGATATTGTTCACATAATAGAAACCATACAATCATTGATAGCTCACTAAAAATGGTTGTCTTATAGTGAACAACAAAACAATGTTTATATTGATATACTGGATTAAAATCATTTGTGTCACAATTGAGTTTTACTACTGTATTAAGTAACTATTATTTGATTAAAAGGTATTATAGTCTATTTATTATTAGTTTATTATTTACATTATTACGTTATTGTTATGATTATGATATGTATTGTTTATTAGTTTACTATTTACATGATTATAATTTTGTTATGATTTTTACATGTATTTATTTATGTTTATCTAGGTAATATTGTTACAAAATGTCTATAAATATAACAAATCCAGATGTAAATGACATATCAGATGATTGTGATGATAATGACAGTGATATACAATCAAATGCTACTGAAAAAAGTGGACACAATAGTGACTCTGAATTTGATATGGACAGTGAATCAGAGCCTGTATACTACTCTGATTCTGATAGTGAAATAAATGCAAGTTTTAATCAATCGATGGCAACTAATTTTGATGATAATTCATTAGCGACAACATCACAGACATCATCACAAACAACATCACAAACAAAAACTCCAATACATAACATTTATCGTTTCAAAGAAGGCCCGAAATTAAGTGAAAGTGATTGTGAAGGAGTGGACACAACTTTCCAACAATTTTTAACAAAAGAAATGTTAAAATTGATTGTGAAATACACTAACGATAAGATTGCGATGCGAATAAATGATATAACCAAAGTGAAACCAAGTGTTAATTATTGTTATAAAACAAATGAAATAGAAATGAAAGCGTGGATTGGATTGTGTTTTTTAATTGGTGTTCACCGATCGGCACATGAAAATGTATGCGATTTATGGGATCCCAACGGTAGAGGAAGAGACATTTTTCGAGCTGTAATGCCATTACGACGCTTTCAGTTCATTACAGAGCATATTTGCTTTGATCACATACTGTCAAGAGAAGTGCGTAAGAATACCGGCGATAAATTGGCGTTATTTAGCGAGATATTCAACATGTTTCGCAAAACCTGTCGTAAAAATTACGAATTGTCACCATATGTGACAATTGATGAGATGTTAAGGTCGTTTAGAGGGCGTGTTAGTTTCAAACAGTACATGCCCAATAAACCTGCTAAATACGGGCTCAAACTATTTATTTTATGTGACGCCACGAATGCTTATTGCTATGACTGTATATTTTATACCGGCAAATCAACTGATGGGATAAGAGCTAAAAATTTAGCAAATAACATTGTCATGGAATTGACTAAACCATTGCGTGGTAGTGGACGCAATATCACTTGTGATAACTGGTTTACTAGTTTCCCATTGGCTGAGGATTTATTAAAACACAACTTAACTATTTTGGGAACTCTTAAAAAGAATAAAAAAGAAATTCCGAAACATTTAACTGTTAATAAAAAGCGAAAGGTAACTTGCTATTAATCTACCTAGCTTATTAAAAATATAGTTAATATTTTAATTACATATTTAGCTTGCTAATTATAAATGTATTATGTTGAACATGTATTTGGTTAGCTTACTTCATAGTTATTTATTACTATAATATCCAAATTTTATCTTGCTAATAAATTACTTTTTATTTGTTTTATAATAGCTTGGTAGCACTGAATACATTCAAACAAATACAACTACATTATTGGCCTACTATCCTAAGAAAAATAAAACTGTGTTATTATTAAGTACTATGCATAAAGACCAAGCAATTAACGAAATCACAAACAAACCAATTATTATCGATGACTATAATAGTACTAAAGGGGGTGTAGATACCCTGGATCAGTTATGTGCTACATTTACAACTGGTAGGTCAACAAAACGTTGGCCAACAGCTTCATTCTTATGCATTTTAGATATAATGGCAGTCAATGCATTTATAATTTACAAACATTTTCACTCTCAAAGAACACCTCAATCAATTCAATCAAAATTCCGGAGGGAATTTTTGCATTTATTGGGCGAAAGTTTATGTATCGATCAAATGCAATACAGGTTAACTTTAAATACAATTAGCAGAGATTTAAGAGGTATTATTTGTAAAATAACAAAACAATCAAATACTATGGATAGTCCAAATCTAACTGCGGGCCCTTCAAATAAACGTAAAAAATCACAACCCGCTCAAACTAGATGTTATCTATGCACTCGTAAAGATAACAAAAAATGTACACAACGTTGTGTTGATTGCGAAAAATTTATCTGTAAAGAAAAACACACTATTATGTATTGCACTTCATGTGACGGTAAAGATTATACGAGAAATGAATAAACAAAATTTCAATCATTTGTTGTAATATTTATTTTAAATTAATTATATTATTTAGTATATAAAACATTTTATATTACAATAGAATTCATTATTTTATTTGTTATATCAAACATTATAATTTATGTTTAAAAAATTATTAATAATCAATTGGCGCATACTTTACTATAATTAAAAAATTATTTATATCATTTATAAATCATGTAAGTTATAAAAAATTATAAAATAACGGTTGATTTCGTACTATCGGGTATTTTAAGTTAAATTTTATTCGTTATATTGAACGTGATATTTTAAATAAGTATTACTCTATTATCTATGTATTGGCCTATTTTTAGGCCACCCTACACGTTACTTGCTGGCCTATTATTAGGCCACCCAACATGTTAAACGCTGGCCTATTTATAGGCCTCTCTACACGTAACGTTTACAATTTAACCCAACGCGCGAAGGGTTAATCAAAATTGATATGAATGGTGTGAAATAAATATTATTTTAGGATATTTTGATTATTATAATTTATAAACAAGTGGTATTAAGTTTGAAATAGTAAAATTTAATTAATTCACTATCTAGTTTTTGCTTAAACTAATTTAATACTTTTAAAAATAAATTTAAACATTCTATTACACAAAATCATTTAAACAACATTTGTATTAATTTTTACAATTTTCAGGTTTTTATTTTTGTATTAATTTAATGCAAATGTAATTCAAAGTAAATACTATTAAATCATTTTTAAACCCATTGTATAAAATCTGAATAAATAAATTATTATTTGATTACTTTATATTAATTCATTCATAACTTAAAATAACGATTTAATATTAATTCTTGTGTAAAATATATTGTAAAATATACAATATTATTTATTATTTATGTACAATATTATTTATTAATAAGACGTGGTTGTTATTTAATTAATATGCACTTTATTTTTTATTGAAAATGTCAAATAATTATTAGTATTTACATAAATTAATAATTTTATTAATATTGATATATTTTAGTTTATAATTTATGAAAAAATTAATTTATAATTTTGATTGGTAAAACACAATTATTAATTTATTTGAATTGTAAATGTGAAATATGTGCTAGCTGCTATTAATTTAGACATAGGGTATACTTACACAATTATTTTAAATATAGCCTATTTTACAAACTATAAATTTTATAATTTAATATATAACACTTATAATTAAGTAACCGAAAGTTTTATTAATGCTGTGTTCGATTGGCTCCCAAATATTTTGGGTACATGTTATCAAATTGGTTAAAAGCCTATTACATACATCATTTTATTATCTGTAATTTTATGTAAAATAAATATTTAATTTGATTCAAAAAGTGGTCATTTAACCGAAACGAATGATATCGGTCACATTAAAAAACATTCGGTCAATTCTAAGTTTAAGTCAACTGGACAAAGTATGAGTCACAAAAATAGTATATCAATCTTGGACGGTGTATTGATAATTGGTTAATGGCATGCATTGCACACAATGTTGAAATTCGGTGATTATGACCTAATAGTCCGCACCCGAACCACCCGACCCAGAGATGTGGTCAATGATGCGGCAAATGACCATGGTAGATCCGATCTAAGATTTTAATATATTGAATTGTTGGTGGTCTTAGGCTTCCACCGGCCAACTAGTTGTAACCATTTAAAAGTGACAGGGAAGGCCACCCGAACCGATGTTTGAACATATACCGAAAATATAGCCATTTTTAGCTTATTTTTAGACCACATTTTTCAAAAATCAACTCAAAAATTTTAAAAGAGTTTAGGCGAGAAGTTCTCTGATACCCACCATATACTCCAGTTATTCCTCTATCAGATCACTATTTATACAGTTCTCTTCAGTCACACCTTATGGTAGAAATTTATAAAACAAAAGTAGTGGTAGAAGCAAACCTAGCTCACTTCTATGAGTCGCAGGGCAGCCATTTTTAATCGAAAGTCATTGTAAGTTTGTCCGAAAAATGGCCAATAGTTGCCGATAATTATGGCCAATAAAAAATTGGAATTACTATTCTGGTTATTAAGAAAAACGAATTTTATATTTTTTGAACAATCTTTCGGTTACTTAATTATATGCTTTATAGTTTAATTGTTGAAAAATTTTATTTTTATCGACGTATCAATCAGACCTGTGTAAAATATGCATTAAACGTTAATCAACAAACATTTTGTTTAAATAATAATCAGTAAATGTTTTTGAAACACTAGCTAATATATTGTAATTTTGTAGCTCCATTAAAATAATTATGCTCAATTAATTTACATGCGGACCACGTGAACACTCATAGATCCAGTTTTTCGTATTTTCTTAGCGTCAATATATTCACTATCAGCCGAACTAATACTACTTCCGTCCAGTGAAAAATCATCCTGGTCACTCTTGCTGAATGATCGCCACATGCAAAACACGATTATAGCACCCATCTAAATAACAATTACATAAACATTACATTTAATAATTGCAAGTAAATCATTTTAATCGATCGTGAACAAAAATATAAAACTTTATAATTTACCAAAAATAGTTGAAATGCAAAAAAGGGAAACGACGACCATGAGTAATCATAACTTTCCATTAAGGTTCCGCCGACTACCGGTCCGATCGCATCCCTAGTTATTATCAATACAACAAAAACTATTATTACGTTCATTGATCACAACAGTACTGCATAATAAATACCCTAATGCTTCAAATGTTGTGAACAGCGATGAGACCACTGCTGTTGTCGACGAGCTCTCTGTCAGACCTCCTCTTCTGTTTAATTATAATTATTTTATTAATTGATTAAAATATAATTTATAAATAAAATCATACATGGTCTCCCGAGAGCCCTGAGCGAATGTGCCAACCAGTATAGCGCTGATTCCCAGGCCGAGCAACACTTGTGATATGATTACCAAATATAGTTGTCTGATAAACAATAAATAACAATTTAATTGTAATTAATAAAATTAGTTAAAAACTAAACATACGGCTCGATCTCAATCATAGGTATTGGGCCTATGATTGTGAGGCAAACCAACGCCGAGAAACAGCCGATTAAACTGATCACAAATTTGTTTGATATCTTTTCGGCCAAATGTTCCCAAATATGATTGAATACAACGAGAGATACGCCGGATATCAAGAATACCAGACCGACCATCGATGACGATAATGAGGCAATCTATGTTAGTTAATGTAATTAACATTTATTAACTAATTAGCCAAGGTAATTATAACTATACATCTTCGAGGTGTAACTCCAGTGTTGTTGTGTTAAAGCCAATGAGAGCGCCGGCATTCATAGTAATCAATACATTGATCATAATTCCCACGTTTGACAGCAGCTGACGGTACGTTACATTTCCCTTATTCACATATAATTCTGAATTTTACCCAGGTCAAGACAATTAATTAACAAACTATATTATTCTAAAAACAAATTATAATGTAAAATATGTCAATTACTTTCGGTTTTAACAGTGAAATGCATGATAACCGACGAGAATATAGCGATTATGCCAAACACGTAAAACGGCACACAAAAGCCCACACCATATATTTCGCCCAACTATTACATTATTGTATTTAAAAAATATTATAAATCATCATTAAATTAGTTTACAGCTTGATCAAATACCTGAAACACAAAGCCAGCCAATGGCGGCCCTATTATCAGCCCGATCGAGTAATAGACCTCGATTTTTGCCTAAAATAATATTCATATAATTAGTACACATCTCAAAACAACATGATTAACAAAACACTCACATAAACTGAGGCCAGATTTTTGGTGAACTCGAGACAAATGATTGTATAACATGTTGTAAAATAAGTTCCCATTTGAAAGCCAACCATCAATTGTATGCATATTGCGATCGGTATGAAGAAAGTTGCCGAATAGCACCATTCAAGTGACCTGTAATTGAACATGTTCATACGTTATTAAAACAATTTACCAAGAACATTTTGTTTAGGCAATTACCCGAATCCGATGATTGACACCCCGAACAAAAATACACATCCTTTGAGCACGTATTTTGGTTTGAATCTTGATAACTTTTTTAAAAGTAACAAGGGTAGATTAAATTAAACTGTTTTTGTTGTAATTATAATAATAATTTTCATTTAATATGATACTTACTAATCTCCGTGATAGAATAGCTCCGATAATGAAGCCAACATTAATTACCCCGTTTATAACACCGATCCAAGTGTCTGATATACCCCTTTGCTCCGCCTAAACAATAATAAGATGGATAAATTATTTAACTTTATAAATGACTATTAAGCTGAATATATTAGTATTTACTTTATTTAATTACTAATTCTAATAAACTGTCACTTTATTATAAAATAATTATTTATACAAAAGTAGTAAGTAATGTAAGTTACAATTGGATTATTTATATAACGGCCATAAATTTTATCAATTTAAGTGAAGCATTAATTTTAAATAATTATAAGTTATAACAATAAAACTTATGTAAAAGTATTACTTAATTATTTTTATAATAATAAACTTATCTATATTTGAACTAGAATAGTATAATTTGTACTTTATTAATATGAACTTATAAAGTTTTTTTGTTTAAGTCAACATTTTCTGATTAAGCAACAAAGCAATACTAAACTAAAATGTTTTTAAGTTTAAAAACTTTTAAGTACAAAGTACAATTAATTAAACCATAGTTAGTAATGAACTATTGTATAACTACAATATATCGTCGATAATCTCAATGATTCACGAAATAATAATTTTAAAATAAGTTAAAACTTACAAATATTTAAAATTATATTTATCTATAGTTCAAATAAAATAAAATAATTAATTGACATACAACTGATGGGAAAAACGGTCCGTCAAGTGATGCCGCAGTACTCGTCAATACACTCCCGAAACACAACACAATCAATAAAATCAATTGTTTTCTTTCAAATTGGGTTTTGAATAAATTCCTAAACCAATTGCCTTTACTATGGCTTACATTCCTATCTCCAGTCCCGTGAAGACTGTTTACGCAAATTGTTGTTTGCTTTTTGTTACGACCAAAACCTTCTTCCATCTAATTGTACGCTACAAATGAAATGTTGAAACTTTTTACTCATTGTGCTCGGAATTTATACCCTGTTGTCTCCAACCTCCATATATTTTATGATTGTGTACATTTACACACGTATTGTACATGTGTAATACGGGGCGCCGGACTTGTGATATTCATATCTTAATTACTATCATATGAACATCATTTCATTACTTATCATTATTATCATCATTACACCGCCTATTCAATCAGTAACACCTACATCAATCCAAACCTATTCGAACAGTTCAGAGTAATTTAACAAATGAGCTCAACCATGTTTATAATTTGTTGTGCTACTGAACTTTTAATAAAGGTCCTTTATAATGAGATACTTATAAAATTAATTTTTATGTAATAAGTTATACCAAAAATATATTTTCTTTGTTACGAATTGGTATTTTTTATTAAAATAATTGATTACGATTACTATTTTTACAGAATATTTAATTCGTCCAAATTATTAAGTGTACCTAGTTTATTGTTATTCAATAAGTAGTAAATTTATTATTATTATTGTGTTACTTTAAGACAACTTGAAATTCTATTTCTTAACTAACCCTTGTATGATAACTGATAGAACATTGAAAATATTTTTATAACTTTATAAAATATGTGTTGCAATAACTAGGTAATAATTTTTAATTCCTATTAAACAGTATATTATACATTTCTAAAATAAAGAAATAAAACAATAAATTTTATTACATAATTAGGAACAATATTTACAATATCTGTTTTGAAAAGTAATTTTTTTAGTTTAATGTTTGTGTAAATTATCTCAGATATAATAGAAAACAAACAATTATAACCAAGATAATCTTGTTATATAATTACAATAAGAATGAATCTAAATATTAGATATTAGTAAAAACACATTGTTTAAAAAAGTAAAATTTATAAATACCTAGATTTACTATATATGTAAGTTAATACAAACTGCTAATTCAGGCCAATAAAAAAGTTTTAGATCTTGATAAGATATCAAAAGTGATGTATATTTAATCACAACAAATATGTATAATGCTGATAAAAAACCATATTTTATTAAATTGTTATTTTATAAAGTTTAATTATATTAATAATTAAATATTAGTGTAAAGAGGAGACAATAATATGGAAAGATATTCAGTGATGGCGTAGATAAAACATCATATGATAAGTGCTTTGTTATAAAATATAATAAAACATTTTATTATTTAATTTATAATTTTTTAAAATACTTTATAAACAGTTAGTAACTTAAAAAAACAACGGTTTAGTAATAACAATTACTAGTTAATTAATATAAAATATTTATTTGCTTACATTACAAATTATACATTTAAATAATTATTAGAACTTTAGAGTAATCTACAGTAAATCATGTTCAGTATATAATAAATAATTAGTTATATTTATAAATAAATTTGCTAAGAGCACACATTAACTCAATATATATATTTTGTTAGTAACTAACATGGGCATATAAGCAAATAGAGATTCAGAGTCTAATTATTCAAATATGATTCAATAACTGATTGGCAAATTTGAAAATTCAAGCCAGCTCATTTGATGACTGTATAATTCATCAAACCGGGCAGTCATCCTCTATATGAAGGGACTCTCATTCTGTGACATAAAAATTTGTTTATAAATGCATAATTATTATTGTAAATAATATTTAAAAATTAGTAACTTTTTAATTTGGAATTTGACAAGATAACTTAACAAAGTAATTATTATTTTCATAGCACTAAAAATTATTACAAATAAACCAAAATAAATACGATTTGACCATTAATAAAGTATAAATTTGAGACTAATTTTATTATCCAAGGTTTTCTGACTATATAAAGTAAACCACTCGACACATATCAGTGTTCTTATATTTTATGACAATAAATTATAGTTGCAAATTTGAAATTTTAAACAAATTTCTGTCAATTTAATATCAAATCCATATAAATCCATATATAAATTAGAAATGAATTGAGCATTTATCGTAAACATTAATTCACGTAATATGGGATTTCGCGTTGTATACCAGTTTAAGTCTATAGCTAGTAAAGTTTTAACATATAAACATAGGTATCTTCTAATAGGTAAATATTAGGTAAATCAGATCGGTAAATTTAACATGGATACTGATAATTTTTTTTATAATGTTAAGTCTATGGCCATACTTTAACTTTGGCAATGCGCTGCCCCTCATCTCGGCCAAATAATGCTTTTTTGGGCAATATTCACTCTATGAATGATATTTATTCCATGCTATTAAGATAATATATCCGTAATAACAAATAAAATGATCATGGAAACAGACAATGTAGCAACAGATAAAATAAAAATTTTGAAAAAATAATATTCATTTAATACTTTTAAAATTACAGAAAACTAAAATTGCGATTTCTAGAACAGGAATTTATTTACACTTTCTATTCTTTTTTATTACTCGAATAAATTTTGACAAATTTCATTGATATTTTTATGTCCAATTTTTAAATATAATTTTATGCTGTTGAATACAATGTCAGAATTTTGGTGTTCATTAGTTAGGGTGACAGTGTATTTTGATACAGGCAAATCTATTAACTGGCCCGTGGGTTAAGTGTTAATCACGTAATCAAAATAATTCATTTTGTTTTACAATTTTAATAATAATGTTCTTTATTAAATCACACAAATATTTAATATTTAATGTTTATTTGTTTAACTATTATATAATGTGAATGTAAATATAATTCACTAAAATTTCTGCTAAATAGATATGATATAAAATTAAAATAAATTTAAAATTATATCTATTGTTATTTATATAGGAAATGCAACAAAAGTTGATTTCTAATTCAAGTTTTAATAAATAAAATAAATATTTATTTAAATTAAATTAAAACAAATTTAAAATAATCGCTAAAATATCTAATAAAACATAACAGTAATAAATATAATAACACATTTGTTATGATAAAAAAATATAATACTAAATGATCACTAAAATTTTACTACAACTGGAAACTCTACTAAATGCTAGTCTAACCGGTGTTAACTCTTTTGGTCACCCTTTTCGCCCATTTTCCACGTGTAATATATATTCCAAAAGAATGAGACAAATGCTATGACCAGTACTTTATAGTTGACTGCAATCAAATAGTGGTTCACTAAACCGACGAATGGCCACACTTTCCAAACGGCACACATTATATCCCAGTAATCATTACGAATGCGGGCCTCGATTTGGGCCAACGAATGGCCATTCATTGCGCCCAACACTCCAATGCATGTCAATTGTAGTACAGGTGCGAAAAATAACTAAATATATCAAATATAATAGATTATTATTAATCATCACTAAAAATAATAATAAAATTGTAAATACTAATTAATGTTAACCATATGCATAAATAATCTTAATCTACTAAACTAGTCTACTACCCGTCGTGTACCATTATATTTTGTGCGATTACATAACACGGTTCCCTCAAACCGTTTTGATTAAAAAAAGAATTATTAAAATCGGACATGTAGTTTAGATTTTATGTTAGTTTTTATAAGTATTAT